TATCTGGGAAAAACAATAATCTTCTAGGCTTTACAAAGAAATTGAAAAGTCCAACTTCAGTTTGCTTTTAATTACTTTCAGCTGCAGTTCCCCATTCCCCAGCTCTATCTTCTGGTGCTGGAGGGTTAATGCTGGCATTTGAGCCAAACAATATTTCTATTTTTATATACCATTTTAATGAGAATTCAGAACAATGATCTTAGAAGGAAAACATGAAGATTTTATGACTACTCCACTGAGACTTCTACTTAATTCTTTCTCACTGGAGTTTTTTAAAAGATTCTTTTTGGATGACTTTACACCATTCACAGTTCCGTTCTGCAGGCAACTCCAGCCTTGTGGGCTTCTGAAAGGGTGTAGGAGAGCTGAGACCTTGGGTGTCCTGCTTGGCACTCACACAGGTCTGAGCAGTTACCTGGTCTGCAGTATTAGATGGCACAACGTGAAGTTGCTGTTTATGTAGGTCAGATCCCACCAAAGCATGACAATTTCATGTGATTCCTCTTAATATCAGGAAGTGTCAGTGACATTTAGCGGAGCACTTAGCTGAAAAAAACAACCCAGAGATGTTTGTCAGCCTCTTTGTGAAAGATGTATTTTTCAGAACCTGAGAGTCTTAATATGTACAAATTCAAAAGCTGTGAAAAGAAACTGTCATTGTTAGAAATGGCTTGAATGAGACGTTCTTCGTTTTCTGTGGACAGGTGGCTGAGCCTGCATCTGTGTACTCACATGCTCTGAATCCACCCCCCACACGCAGAATGGCAGCCCCCAAATTAGTAATAACCTCTCCCAGAACCTGAGAGAGGAAAAAGTATAGAAAAGTATGCCCTCAGCCACCAGAGAGCGGTCAGAGCAGTTAAGTTTTGAAGTATGACTATAGTGGAAATGAGTAGCTTCAGGGGGCAAGAAATACCTCATTTATGCCAATTACCCGGGCTCACGCCTGTAATCCTAGCACTCTAGGAGGCGGAGTGGATAGATTGCTTGAGCTCAGGAGTTCAAGACCAGCTTGACCAAGAGCGAGACCCTATCTCTACTAAAAATAGAAAAACTATAAAAAAATTTTTTAAAAATGAAAAAAAGTCAGGCACGATGGCTCACACCTGTAATCCTAGTACTCTGGGAGGCTGAGGCAGGTGGATTGCCTGGTTGCTGTGAGCTATGGCAGCACTCTACCCAGGGCAACAGAGTGAGATTCTGACCACTCCCACCCCCCAAATAAAACCTCATTTCTTCTTTTAACTCACTACTAGTCCCCTTTCTACAGGGCTGAAGGGGAATTCAAACTCAGTTACCACTGGGTATCCTCCTCCCCTTCACCAGAATTATGTGAAGAAGGGCCTGGGGTCTCCTGTAATGCCTGGGGTTTAGGGCCACATGCTGGTTATTGTTCCTCAGTGGGCCTTGGCACTGCCAGAAACCATTGCTCCTGCCCCCATGACTCTCCAGGCAAAAAGCTCTGCTACTCTCTGCCACCTGTGCAATGTGAACTTTTATTGTGACTGGGAGCAGATGGGGTGCAGGGCGTCAGTCCCCTTTGATCACAGACCCCATGGACATCACTTCCCTCCCCACTGAGGGTCATCCTGTGACGCTTCTCCATCTGCAGGGCCCAGAGGTCATGGGCAGCAAAATGGCCAGGCCACTTTGGAGAAGAAAACTATGAGACCAGATTCAAGCCATTAGCCACCTGTGGCTCTGTTACCTTGCCATAGGAAGTTCTAAATTAATGGCAGCCAAAGTCCTGACAAGGAAACATTGGCACACTGTCAACCAGCAATTTTATGCAGAAGCTATCCTATGTCACCAAGTATTACTCCGTGACATGAAGAATCCTTTTACAATATTGTATGTTGTCCTGTGTTTTTAAAATTGCAGTAGCTAATGCGAGTGCAAACCCAAGCTAACTTGTGATCAGTCACCAACGTTTGGGTGTTACTAATGACCTGTCAGCAGTGTGTTAAGAAGACGCTTAGTCTGGTGTGTTAAGAAGACGCTTAATCTGTACAGCTGTCGCTAGCCACGTGAGGTTTACATTTAACTAAAATTGAGTAAGATGAAAAATTCGGTTCCTGAGTTAACTGGTCACGTTTTAATCGTTCCAGTGTCATGTGTGGCCGCTGTATGGGACAGGGCAGGTAAGGGTGTCTTCATCTTTGCACAAAGCTCTGTTGCAGGGTGCTGGTCTGTAGTGAGACTTGTGTGTCTCCAGGAGCAGTTGAGGGTGGACCCAATAGCGTGGCCTAAGTGATTTAGAAAGCAGCCTGATGTAAGTGGAAAGCCAGTGCAAAGTGTTACCTGGAGCAGGTCTCATTAACTCAAGAGATGGCTTCCCCTTGGGGCGGGGGGCGGGGAACCCTGCCTGGCCCTTTTCCCCTTCTCTGTGCTCCCAGGCGTAGCTCAGGCACATGGGTCTAAGAACCCCTATGTCTTTATATCAGATTTGGGGTTTATCTCATGGAGAGGAAATCTTGGATTTTAGATGAGCACATAAAGTATGTTTTTCTTTAGGGCAGTGGTTCTCAACCTGTGGGTTGCAACCCACAGGAACTGTGTTAAAGGGCTGCGGCATTAGGAAGGTTGAGAACCCCAGCTGTAGGGCTTCATTTCCCTTGGAGGAGGCACCAACAAGAGGGGTGTGGGAAGAGGCAGGGCTGGTGTGGTTCTTTTAATCCACTATTAGTCTCCCTTCTACAACCATGATGTGCTCGCTTCACAGCGAGGAGACAGCTGGCCAGGGCAGGGCTGCCCCGGGGAAGCAGCGAGCCTGCGAGCAAATGGAAGACAGATGAAACGGGCATGGTGGAAAAACACCCGTGTTCCAACGTGCCATCTGTAGAAACCAGCACCTGTGGGGCAGCAGAGATCCCACCTACCTCTGCTCAGTAAATATTTCCTTGGGCATCTTTACCTATCAGACATCATGCAGGCAGGATGCCAGAGTGGAAGGGGACTGTGCTCCTGCCTGCAGCCGGCTCTCCATCTGGGAATGCTCTTAATATAGCCTATTTTCATATTCCTTATTTCTCTTGGCCTTCTCACCCCATGAAGATATTCCCTGCTTTTTATTAATTTCAGCCGTAAATAACATTCTCCATCTGGCAAAATGGAAACAAGGAGAAAATTGGGAGTTAGGAATTTGGGGAACGCTCTTGCTGGGTTTGGCTTTGGGAAAGCAGGAAGTCTGTGGAACTAAGCTGTCACAGGTCCTTGAGTGAAAGGGAAGAGACTGCTGTTTTTGTCACAGCTCCCTCCTGTCCTGCCTGTGGTCAGCCCCTGACTTCCCACCCACCAGAAGCTTTATTTTTTTGCCCCGTTGCCTTGTTCAAGTTTGTGCTTTATAGACATTTCCCTACGTTAGCGCCCTGAGGCATTCTCCTCCATCCTAAATTGCTTTAAGAAGTCTGAGAATGGTCCTGGCAGCAGGTGGAGCAGCAGGGTGGATTGTCTTGTGGTGTGAACAGAGGGTTGGTCATTGGCTTCATTTCTGAATAATTTTGGTGTTGATTCCAAAAGGGGCTCCAGAGATGTTCTGAGTAAGGCACTCCCACGGCCCCCCAGGGAGAATGGACACTTGATGCAGAAGGTCTTGGGTATTTATTTTGAAAAACTTTCAATAATTGAGCTCTGTATTACAGGTAGGATAAGGGAGCCAGTTCATCCATGGAATGCCCGCAGACTGGGATGCTGGCTTGATGGAGCAAGAATTTCCTTCCGTTTGGGGGTGGCTTTCTTTTCTCTCTCTTCCCCATTACAGGCTCACTTTATCCCTCTGTCTCTTTTTCCCTGATTACCTTTGTCCAGGAGCAACTTGTTGCCTTCACCTTGTATTTGTCCTTGCCTAGGACAACCTCTGGACATTGTGCCTCTGCTCAGGCCATACCACATGTCTGCTGTCAGTCTGAGAGTGGCTTTGACTAATCAGCACTGGGTATCACAGAGACAAAAGCTGAAAGACAGTCATTCCCAAATGTGGCTGCAATTTAGAATCCCCTGGGAGCATCTGAAATTCCTGATGCCCAGGTTGCATCCTATGCTGACTGAATCAGAATGTCTGGGGGCAGGAGCCAGATGGCCATTTGTTAGAGATCCTCAGGTAATTCTTATAAGCAGCAGAATGTAAGGATTTCTGCAAGGGCAGGGTGTGGTTCTGGAGCAATGTGAGTAGTCAGTGTGCCCACACGTCTTGCATCTCCAAGGCAAAGTGACATACGACAAAGAGCATTGGATACAAAATCAGGCTCTCTAACCTACTGCGTGGGTGACCTCAGAAAGCTGTTTACCTACTCTGGGCCTCAGTTTCCTCCTCTGTAAAATAGGGTCATAACAGTAGTACCTTTCTTCTAGGACCATCTTAAAGAACCAAAGAGATGATGTGGAAATGGCCAAGTGCTATATAAATGCTTATTGTTGCTGGAGATTACTATTTTATAAAAAGATATTCGTTTTCCAGGTGGCCTGGCAAGGTAGCAGGGGTTGCTACTATCACATTATATTCCTTCTTCCCCCTAGTAAATCTGATAGCTGCTTAGAACAAGAATTTTTTTAATTAAATCATAGCTGTATATATTAATGCAATTATGGGGTGCAATGTGTTGGTTATTTCTCCCTTCTAAGAAAGGGGAGTGGCAAGGAGAGCAGGTCTCATCTAACATTAGAAGAACCCAGTGGCGACAGCCCCCGAGAACTGTTGCCTTACAGTGCTCAGGGTCTGTCCTAGATTCCTAGTCCTCACTGGCCACCTGTAGGAAGGGACACCTGTAAACCATGGGCTTCCTCTTCAGGCTTTCAGTTCAGCTGGGTTTCATTTATGTCACGAAGCAGAACTGCCCACAGAGTCCCCCCTGGCAAGCCCTCGAGAGGGGACAGAGGACTCCCTCCTGCCAGGGCCCACGGTCATTTTTGTCAGTGTCACTGTGCTGTCTCGTGCAATAAGCATCATCGTGGCTCTTTGGAGTGCACACAGAAGCATTTTTCCCTCTGGCTTGTCCTCCTAGGGATTTGAAGTTGGATGGAGGGAGACAGTCAGCTGGCGCCGTGAGCTTGAAAGAGATCATTGGTCTGGAAGGTGTGGAGCTGGGTGCCGATGGGAAGGTAAGGCTGCCTGGCATCCGGTATGGGCAGGGTCCTGGGCATGTGGTGCCAGCCACCCCAGCTTCCATGGTGGCATGATTCAGTGGCAGTGTGGGGGGAGTTCCCAGAGCACGTGTGTTTCTTTGCCAGTGCTGTTTACAACTGAATGAGCCATATTTACTAGCATCTCACACACACACACACACACACACATATGTTCCAGGGTGGAGTGATGGGTGATTTGAACATCCATTAACTATCTGTGTCAACAAGCAACATTTAGGGTATTTGAAACCATTTTACCTTCCCTTGGTCCTGAGAAGCTAAGAGTCACTCAGCTTGACACAGTGACCATTGAACAACAGCAATAGGAGTGTCCGTTCCTTTCATCCACGTGTAGTCGGCTTCAGGGCTAAAGTCTCAGGAGTGAAAGGCTGAAAGGTGAACTTGACCTTTTTGTGCTGGGTCCACATAAAACTTGCTTATGGCAAGGATGCAAGTGTTTCTTAGGGAAACTGTCCCAGGGTGGTTCATTTGTGAGGCAAATGCAAATTTGGGATGGCAAATGCTTCCTCTACCCACTCCCAGAGCAGCTGGTCTCTCTGCGCCTGAGTGATCGTCTTTGAGGTCAAGATGTAGCGAAGGTCTGGATGAGGTGCTTTTGTCAGATACATTCATATTTCTGCCACGACACAGGAATAGTCAGACAAAGTGGGATAAATGAAAATTGCACCTAGCCCAAAGTCAGCTCGGACTAGAAGTCAGCAGAGATAAGTGCCAAATCCAATGTCATTTTTCAGATCTCATTGGATTTTAAAATTGCAAATTGACTTGAACTTTTGCTTAATCAGAATGCAGACCTTAGCATTACCTGGGATTAATCACTGGCCTGTATTTGTCTCCACCTTTTATTTTAGACTGTTTCCTATACCCAATTTCTGTTACCCACAAATGCCTTTGGAGCCCGGAGAAATACCATAGACTCCACCTCCTCCTTCTCCCAGTTCCGTAACCTGAGCCACCGCAGCCTCTCCACAGGCCGGGCGAGCAGCACCCAGGGGAGCCTCGACACAGGTAACCTCGGTCCACCAGGGCCAGGGAGCTCGTGGCAGGAGGTGCTCCTGTGTACCATGTGCATTGGTCTCCCTGGGGTGCAGCCTAGAGGACAGGTTCCTGGAGGACAGGTTCCTGCAGGCCATGTGACTTTCAGGAAAGCCTGATCTCCAGCCCCATGGGCGCTCAGCCAGGCCACAGGTGATCTCTCTGATTAGAAGCCTCCATTACTGACTGCCTGAGCTTCCACACTGAGAAGTGCCCAGGCCGTCTGCACCAAGCAGAGGTGGCTGGATCTTCCACCTTTTCTTTAGCCACTCAGCTTCTCTTCTCAGCCAACCGTAACCTGGTTCTGTCCTGCATTTTCATAGAGCTCTCAAGTTTGACATTTTTTTTTAAATATTCGGGCCCTGAAGTTCAGGATCAGTGTGAGAGTTACCTTTGCAATTACCATACTGGGTGAGCTGAGTTGGCGGCTAAAGGAAGACTTGTGTGCTTGCAGCTCTCCCTGTACAAACCCCTATAAGAATTGATACAAGGGAGAACACTTTGGATGAAGCCGTCCTGGTTCCACTCTCAGAGAAATTTCAGGTGAATGTGATGTTCCCTCGGTTTACCCACGTGCTGAGTTCTGAGGCCCCGACCTAATGTCTGGCCACCTCTGGTTATTTCCAGCTGTGTGCCTTGGTGGCCGCTCTGATTTGTGTTCATATCAGTAGGCTGCCTAGAAGCATCCGCAGCAAGCAGGTGTAGCTGCTCAACTGGCACCACTTGACTCTGCTAACTTGGTCTGCAGCCTTAGGAAAGGAGCCTCTGGAGGGCCGCATGCTATAATCCGCAAATGCTTTCTGCATTCTGCATGCCATATGAAGCAGGAGATTAATACATAAATTCTCTGAAAAGGTAAAAGGTGTCAGAAAGTCAAGAATTTGGCAAACCCTGTTGAGGGGGGCAGTATATGTCCTTGGCCTGCAGAGAGGTCTACCAAAAGTCAGCAAGTGGTGACGCTTGGACCCAGCCCTTTTTCAGTCTAACAGTACTTGGCATCCTCCCAGCTGCCTCTGCTTTGGAGGGTGCAGGGCCCCTAATTATCGTTTTACATGTGATCTTCAGGTAGTGACCTGGGAGACTTTCTGGACTATGACCCAAATCTCTTGGACGACCCCCAGTGGCCTTGCGGAAAGCACAAACGCGTTCTGATCTTTCCTTCGTACATGGTGAGTAGCTTCGGATGCTCATCTCGCCTGCCCCTTCAGCAGGGCTGGGAGGTGTCTTACTTGCACTCACAGGACAGGCTGGGGCTTGTGCAAAGACTGCTTTGCCTAGCGGACCTTACCAAGGCACTACAGTGCATTACTTCCAGAAGGCCCAGTACCCAGAGTTCTGCTGGTCGCCTGGCCCAGAGCCCAAAGTTCTGCTGACTTTCTGGGTACTGGAAAAGTCTGGGTTGCTGGTGTCTGTGAAATCACCAGCTCAGGTTGGGGGAGACCCTCACCTCCGAGGGGGCGTGTAGAAGGTCAGATGTCCACAACCCACACCAGGGGATGACCAGGCTTGTGCCTAGAGTGCTGAGTTCTAGTCCAGCTCTTTCTAGAGCTCCATGATGATGTGGGCCTCCATGTGCATTCTGAGCAAACATTTGGCACCCGGCTCAGGATGACAGAATTATCTCCTGGGAAAGTGAAAGTAGGACACTGTGGGTGTTAAATTCAAACCCTTTCTCTGCTGGTTTTTTTTTTTTTTTAATGAACTCTTCCTGTTTTTCCCTTTGTGTAATTTTGGTTTCTGCTTTTGGCTGACCACCATTTCCCACCATTGTGGGCCGCTGTTTCTCCAGACAACAAATGTACATGGGGGGTCCCATGTACATTCTTTGGGCAGACTTGCCCAACCTAACTCAGGGGCAAGAAGAGTCCCAGCTGCTGCAACAGAAGGGGAGAGCCAGGCTTTCGCAGGAAACTGATTGCCCGGGCCTGCTATGCCCAGCATCAGGCGGGAGGGCTCTAACCCAGAATGTCCCCACTGCCTCCTGGCTTCCTGCATCCTGGCCCATAGCCAGGCTCAGTGGGGCAGCACAGCCGAGCACTTCCTCCCCTGGTTCCCTCCCTCCTGTACTCCAAGCTAGTGCTATTCTCAGGAGCTCTGGCCTTAGAAGTGAGACTGAGAGCCTTTTTCTCTTCCAAGCTCTTGTGTCTGCAATAGCTGGTATGGGAACCAACTCCGAGTAGTCAGAGGGCACCCAGGTCTTCAGTCAGCTCAGCACTCTTATCTGTCTGTCAGAGAAGCACCAGGCAGAACATAGGCCTTCACCACTTACTTCCAGCACGTATTCTCTTGTGATCTGGCAGGCAGTCCAGAGGTCATCCTTTTGTGACACTTTGAGTTGGAATTCACTTAGTCCCTAGAGAACACCTTCGACTCACAGGCGGTTAGTTTAAAGTTGCCCTAGCCCATCCCCCATCTTCCAACACAGAAAGTGAAACCACAGCCGTCAGGAGTTACTTCTTTTCCATTCTGTGACCTGTTCATATTTTGAAAACCAGGACTTATTGATCTTCCCCAGAAGTTAGCACATAGTAAGTGTTCGATAAATGACCTGAATCATGGCCCTCGTTGTAAGGAGGGAGCAGCTGAGAGGCTGTCACGTACAAGGATGAGGATTCTTGAGATGGTTCACTGTTTTGTTTATTAAAGTTCACTAGACTAAGTAACCTGGGCAGGAAACTGTAGCGCCGGGAGTCCAAGAGAGGCTCTCGGAGTGACAGATGGGAAATGGAGGACCCAGGGGGAACCCCTGGCTCAGGGCTCTTTGTACTTTGCCTGGTAGTCACTGAAACAGAACTTCCAGCCTGAGGGTGGGACATGAACGTGATTCTTCAGGCCAACAGGCTAACAGATGTGTAGGTAACCGAGAGAACAAGAGGGCAAGCTACTTCTGATTGACACGGGGTGGCAGGAGCTCTCTTATAGACCTCTCGCTTCGTGATAACATCCACCTCCCCCTTTTTTAGGCCTAGGGTCAGACTGGTGCCACATCTGATTCTTCTGCCTGCAGTGATTTCACCATGCGCTTTGAGGTTCTGGGCTGCGGCGTTTGTGTGTGTGCACATGCACACTTACAATTCTTCCTCCTTGGACAGTGTGCTAGGAGACTTGCCCAGTCAGCACATATGTCCTCCCCTCCTCATTTTATGTTCCCAAGAGGATCATTTTTCATTTCACCGCGCTGGCTCTGCAGTCTGTGCTTCTAGTAATAGTCCATGTCTCAGAAAATAAAATTGCTCGTGAACTGCACTTTCCTGGTCAGCTCCATGAGATCCGCATCTGCTATGCTGGCCACAGATGTTCGTTGATAAAATTCACTTTTCAGCATCTTTATCTAAGTCAATGTTTTTCAACCTGTTTTATCTCATGGCACACTTGAACCTATAGTTAAACTTCCATGGCACACTTAAATTATGTTGATCAAAAAAAAGAGGAAAAATAAGAATATACTTAACTGCCTTGAACTTCTCTCTCAAATAATGTAAGTAATGACCTTTAAAAGTTTTTGTGGCACACCTAAGAGTCTCTTATGGCACCCCAGGTGAAAATCGTTGCTCTAAATTATTACAGTGCTTTCATTGTGTGTTGCAAGGGGCCTTGACCCAGTTTTCCAGAGATTTCCTTCCTAGAAGCAATCATGGGTTATAGGGCTATTCCTCTGGCATTGACATCGAAATTATAGGAAAAAGAGTAGGGTAAGGGGTCATTTTTATTTATTTGCGTTATTTCTGTGTGTTGGGGAATAATTATAGAGTAGGGCAATTCAACAAATACTGATTGAGGTCTTCCCTATGCCTGGGTAGGTGCTTTCTTATCCAGCAGAGAACCAACCAGCCACAGATCCATTCTCCTCCACCTTAGATAGAGAGTGGGGAAGTCTGGTGGGAGATGACTGGCGGAAGGATCAGAGGTGGGCTCCAGTAGGTAGGTCTCAAGGAAGGCGGCCCTGAAGAACGCACTGAAGGTGAGCATCCAGGGCTGAGAGGCAGTTCTTAGTAGGGAAAACCCAAGTGGGAAGACTCTGAATGTGAGAGAGATAGGTTGTGTGTAAAACGGATACTTCCTTTTTTTTTTTTTCTTTTTGAGACAGTCTTACTCTGTCACCCTGGGCAGAGTACTGTGGCATCATTGCTCACAGCAATGGGCTCTTGGACTCAAGTGATTCTCCCATCTCAGTCTCCTGAGGAGCTGGGACTGCAGGCACCCACCACAACACCTGACTATTTTTTCTGTTTTTAGTAGAGATAGGATCTCACTCTTGCTCTGGCTGGTTTCAAACTCCTGAGCTCAGGCTATCCACCCCCCTCAGCCTTCCAAAGTGCTAGGATTACAGGCATGAGGCACCATGCTTGAAATAAAACTGGTATTTATAACAGTAAAAGTCCCTGCCCCACTCTCTACACACATACAGAAGTGGGGAGGTCAAGCCCACACAACACCGGCCCAGACAGATCCTTCCGCCCCACTAACTTGGGCCCAGGCACCTGGGAGCTGCACCTGAAATAGTCCCTGGGCTCCTAAGTGGACGGTGAGTGCTGTAGGATTATTTGAGCCAGGTTGTTGAAGGCCTTGTTTGAGACCTGGGTCAGCCCATCTCTTTGTGAGAGGCAGGGTGCCCCTCCCTACCCCCCCCCAGCAGGTAGACAGCAGGCCTGTGGATCTGGGCCCTGCCCTTCAAGGGCTGGTTGAATGTGCAACACTGCCCACCCCCTAAACAGTGTCCCCAGGTACAGACCTTGGTCCCCACCAGGCCATCGGAAGCACCAGCCTAAACCATGCAAGTGTTGTCCAGTTTGGGGATGTCCTGTCTATGGAATTTCAGGCTCTAAGATGTCTGTGTGGACTCTGCAGACTCAAGCAACCCTTGAAGTGATGAGCTAATCCTTTCACCTAGTAGTTTAAGAGGTCAGAGAATCAAGTTGGTGGACTCATCCTAGAAAAAGTGTTACATACCTCGTTGCTGAATATCATGACTATAGTCACCTTCAAAGTACCCTCCTTGGGAAGCTGTGCACCCTTCAAAGCACTTTTGCTAGGATGGGTTTGCAAACTTAACTGTCCAGCCTCATATGTTCACTCAGATGCTCCTGTTTTATTTTTTTATTCAGAATTAATATGAAGGTACCAATGATTAGGTTACATTGTGTTTCAAAGGTAAAGTTCAAGTTGTAGTTGAGTCCTTCTTCTGGGGGTACTACCCTCACACTGCGCCCATCAGGTGAGAGCTCACCAATCCCTCCACCTCCCCTTTCCCTCCCCCACCCCTAAATATACTTGTATTATTCTCTCATATGGGCTTGTGGTTATTTTTTTGTTGGCTTCATATTGGTATCGAGTACATTGGATACTTGCATTTCCATTCTTATGATACTTTAAGAAGAATGACATGCACCTGTTTTAAGTATACAGTTCCATGAGTTCTGTAACCACCACTCTGATCCAGATAGAGAGCATTTCTGTCCCTGCAGGAAGTTCCTCCTGTCCACTTACCTTCCCTTCCTCTTCCCACAAAGGCAACTGTCTTCTGACTTGTGTCACCGCATTAATTTCACCTATTCTGGAACTTCACGTGCTTGGGATCACCCCGTAGGGACTTTTTTTTGTTGTTGTTGTTCCATCTTTCATATAACTTAATATCTGAGAGATTCCCCTGTGGTAAGTATGTCTGTTGTCCATAGTTTTTTGGGTTTTTT